ACGGGGTGCAGGTGTGGTTCGGACAGAGCCCATTGCCCCAAGTTGGGAATGCATATCAGGGTTCTACGGGGTGCAGGTGTGGTTCGGACAGAGCCCATCGCCCCAAGTTGGGAAAAGGCATATCAGGGTTCTACGGGGTGCAGGTGTGGTTCGGACAGAGCCCATCGAGGGAAACTTGGGAAAGGGTATATTTCTGATAGGGATTCAAGCTGGCGTCTGACTGTTCTGAATGTGTGCTGGTCTGAGCGCTGCGCCGCCCATTGCCTGCTGCGTGCCTTAGTCGGCTGAAAAGGGTATATCATACAGGCCCACCCCAGGCCCTCGGGAAATCACCTGCGGGCGATCACTGGCTGACCTGTCCACACACTGGATTTGCCTGACTGCTGCTGCCTGTCTTCCTATTAAGTAAGTTGTAGTATAAAGAAAACACCTGCGTCGGGGGAGTCAGCTTCGACGGACACGTCCCCCTCTCCCCGAACCGTCGGCGGAAGCCACTAAGCTCCGGCGGGACCACGCCGCCCACCCAGAGATCGGCCATCGACGCGTCCCCGCGCAGCAGCAACACCCAGCGCGCCACCCTCGCCGCCAACGCCACCGGGTCAACGGGGGGGCTCGCCACCCTCGCCGTCAACACCGCGGCGGCGGGGCTCGCCACCCTCGTTGCCAACGCCGCGGTGGCGGGAGGGCTTGCATCTTCGTACTTTCTAGAGCTAGATGTACTGACAGCGACCTTCGGTCCTGCGGCGTTGGTGTCTGTCTGCCGGTTGGCTGCCATCGCGATCATCTGACTGCCGAGCTGCGATTCGGCCTCCGCGTGACGGCTGAAGTTGTAGGAGGATAGCAGCACGAGCGCCAGCGCGAGAAGCCCGACCGTGCACAGCACGTTGGCCTCGCGCGGCATGGTCGGCGCGCGAGGAACGACCTGGCCCGCGCAGCCCCGCAAGGCGCGCGAAGCGGAGCGGGTGTTAGAACGGTAAACAGTACAGACGGCCTTCAAGATCTCTCTTATGGACTGATAACGTCGGTTGGCCAGATGCCCGAGTGGTTAAGGGGAAGGACTTGAAATCCTTTAGCGTAAGCTGCCTAGGTTCGAACCCTAGTTTGGCCGTCTCTTTTGCCCTTTCAAATGTCCCTCTTTCGCTGCTCGTCGCCGTGGGTTAGCTCAACTTACATATGCAGGTATAATGTTTTGACCAGTGACTCTCTTAAAGCATATAATTATTCAGTATTTTGCTTAAATTCCATGAACATTGATACAAACGCTCGCGCTCGGACCGGCGTGACTTATCGCCCGGCGGGCCCGAAACGGCGGAAGCGGGGAGGAGGAGCACGTCCATAATGGGAAGCTCCCAAGAGATGAGGCAAGTTTGCTTAGTTACTAGCGTCATTTTGACCGAGCACGAGGGGTCGAGGGTGTAGCTCTGGGCTTTGGGTCTGAGCACGCCAGTCCTCCGTGTCGCAAGCTGGTTTGTACTGACCAGCCAATGTGGACCAGCTCTCACACGGGGAGTACCAAATTGTTAATCGAGAACTTAGTTACTACAACGGTTTGAATGAAGAACGTCATCGGCGGTGGTGGGCACGAAGAGGCTGATGTCGTGCGAGCTCGCGACGGTCGGCGGGCTCGTGGAGCTCGTGGACCTCGCAGATCCCGAGCAGCTCCCGATTGGCGCGTCTGACCTGCTCGCCGCGCCGGCGCGCGACGCCGGGGAGGAGGCGGCGCTCTCGGCGCGCGAGCTCGCGAGCGTGCTCCGGCGCGCGGGCAACGCGCTCGTGCGCGCGCGCGGTGGTCCAGCCGCGGCGCCCGCGCCACCGTCGGCGCTCCGGTCGACGCCGGCCCCATCGGCGGAGGCAATCGAGACGGAGCGAACCCGGGTTCGCGAGGCGAGGGACGCGTTCCCGCCCGAGGCATGGAACCCGTCCAACGCGTCCGCGCCGGCCTTCTCGATGCCACTCACCGCGCGCGCCTCGCCCAGCGGCACTTGGACGCACCAGCAGGCGGCCCGCGCGCGCGCGCGTCCCGCCTCGGCCTCGCAGGGCCAGCTGAGGGCGGCAGCGCTCGGTGCTGCGGTGGGCCGGCCGTTGCCGATCACCGAGCGGCCACAGACCGTCGCGGGCGGGGCGCGGCGTCCGTCGGCGGCGCGCGCA